TAATAATATCAGCTAGTATTTTTGGGAAGCTCGGAAATCAAATTGAAATTAAATCCACTCTTCACGGTTAAGTCGGCAAACAAACGATTTAAGTTTAAAGTGCTATCTTTGGTAAATTATATAGTGGAACATACTTAAATAGTGCTTTAATATTTTGTTCCTACGAGTTAGTATGTAGTATGGGCTGAGTCATGGTACATTTCTTAGTTGAAACCGGCAAGGTTTAGACCCTTTAAAAATTACGACAAAAGCGCTAAAGGTTGTTAGTTCTAACCAAGCCTTTACTCTATCCAAGTCGGAAAAGAATTGTAGATAATGCCATTTTGGCATTTAAAATTTAACAAAAATGATTAATCAATATATCCATGTTTTTGTACAGTTGGTTGCATCAAGACGAGCACTTGGGCATGGTGTAGGTTATAGTCATGTTGGTTGTCACGTGGAACTCGTAAAAATTGTCCGAACTACGTTGGAACGTGCTATGAACCATGTCGTTGGCTCTCTGTTCGTGAACTGGCATTTCAGTAACGAGCTTACCTTGCACTCGTTTATCTTCCCTAGAGAAATTATCGTGGCTAGCCCTCTCAGCCCTATCCTAGAGCTGGCCACGATAATTCCTATAAATTCTATAGGAACTTCAGAGGTTTTATATCCTGTTGATATCTAAAAGTTTTTTTTATATAAAGACACTCAAATGAGTGTCACATTTGATATGTCTCAAGGAAAACAAAGGTTGGTATAGAAAATAAACAAAAAGACACAAAATAAATTCTAAAAATAAGAGTACATCAGACCAAATCGGTCGTCTTGTTCCTTCGAACATCCACTGCTTGCCAAAGTTTAAAGATCACATTGTGAAGACAGCAAAGAAAAGGAACACCTGCAAGTTACCTTCTATTCTTCCGAGAGGAATTCTAATACTTTTACTTTTGTTACTTTTGTTGTGACGTTCTCTTTTTATGTGGTGCAAGGAAGAATCTCTTTGGGTGACAGAAAGATATTTAAGGTAGAAAAGTCTCGTTCAAATAAAAAGACTAGCAATTGCTGGTTAAAGTGAAGTCGGTCAAAGCAAACCTATATCATATTAACGACAGGATCCACGAACAATCCGGACCGGACGGCACGTCGTCTCTTGGTTTCCCATCCATGTGCTGTGGACTAGAATACACATTTCTCCTGCCACGCGTGAGTCGTGATCATGACCACTGAATCCATCAGTGGCGGAGGAAAAGGCTGGCTGAGGGGCCAAGCACGTCCAACATTTATATGTCCCCTATAATGCATTCCCTTTATTAACTATTTAATAGTTTAATTAGTCCGTAGAGAGATGGCTGTTAATATCAGCTGTCTCTGGAAATACGATCATTTCCAGAGGCAACTACAAATATATAGTTCCTCCATACAGTACACTATCTAATTAGATAGTTAATTATAATTAGTGATTTGCTTGTTCGCTCTCTCTGAATAGATAGTCATTGATATCTATATTATTTAGGATTAATCTTCCTATTATCTTCTTTATCTCCTTTGTTCCTATTATTTTCATAATTCTTTTTTGGTCTAAGAATTTGATCGATGGGTCAACGTTAGAGATCTGCTAATTATTGTCCCCATTTTCTCTATAATATTCAATATTTTTTTTAGTTTTCAGTTTTCTTTCATACTGTCGAGTTGGATGCTTTTTAGAAACAAATTATACATGAAGAAATACATGTTCACAAAAAAATACATGAAGAAATACATACACGGCAAGAGTATCCATAACATGAAGTACTTACAGATAATTTTCAGTTTTCTTCATGCATGATTGTTTCTGTCGAGTTGAACGACGCCTATCCAAATTATGGCTCTGCCCCTGCATTGTCTTCAGGACGATAAGCTACTGAAATACTTATTTTCAATAAGGGTCTTTGAATTTGAAAATTGGGACATTTTTTAGGAAGAAGACTGAATCCGACTGGAATTATGCTAAACCATTCCAGGCAAAAGAAAACAAATATATAGTGCAAAAGTATTTATGGACCTCCATGGGAAATTCCGAGCATTATTTCTAAACTGGCCTCAAACTAGGTTTCATTAAACATTTTCCCTCTTTATAACTTAATTTCTAAAATAGTTTACTTTCATTCACAACGTACATTACATGACTGCATAAGTATCTTAGAATACAGCTTATCGGGCTTTCATTGCTGCTGAAACAACTCATAGAAATGCTCCAATTCGATTTGGGTATAGCGCTGAAAGTAGGACAGATAAACAAAGTCCAGCTTTTATTTCTCCTTCAGGCCCAATAATAATTCTTGTTTTTTTTTCTTTTAGAGGGAGCCCACTAAGATGGAGGCCATTCAAAATGGATCCGGGGGATGTGTGATGTTTTTTATTTTATGACATATATATCGGCGTGGCTAGCGTCCCGGACGCTCACTAGCCCGCCCCCAGTCCACCATCGCCCACCCTCGTCCGCCTCACCACCTTGCAGCGCACAAGACTCCGCTTTGCCCCCGCCAGTCATACTACAGACCCGCTCCTCTCTCTCTCCGCGCGGGCGGCACTCGAGAGCCGGGACACGGCGTACCCCGCCCCGACCGGAGCATCCGTCCACCCGCCCCCAGCACCTTCGTCTGCAGCCCCCTAGCTCGCCGCGCGCACCGTCTGCCTGCCCCTCGGCTCGTCCCTGGCCAAACAACATAAAACACTTACAACATGAAAAAAATTTGAATGCAACGTATGTTTGAAAACAGATGAAACACTTAGAACATGCACTTGCAACATGTGTGTGTACACATGAAATATCAAAAAAATTACACTTGCAACTTGCAACATAAAACCACTTGCTGCAACATAAGACTAAAACAGTTGACACATTTTGGAACATACTGTTGCAACATATGTGTGAAACATATGCAACATCCAGATAAAGACAATTGCAACATACGTCTGGAAACAAATAAAACATTTTGTACAAACGCTTGCAACATGCATCTAAAAACACTTGCAAGATGGCAACGGGGACCCGATCCCTGATTCCCCGCAGAGAATTCTCCTATTAGGGGACGGGTATGGGACCAAATCCAAACCCACGGGGATCTAAACGGGGCCAAATCCATCCCGGTCAAGTCTGGCCGGGCCGGGGATGGGGGAGCCGTCCCTGAATCCGTTGCCCGTGGAGCCCCGTTTAGCACTTCATCATCTATGTGCATCCGGCTGTCTGTCTGTTGTAGAACCTGATCTATACGTCCATTCCCTCCAGCAAACCCTAAAAGAGTTTCACCCGCACCCGTCTCTGGCGAGTCCCACCCAAGGCCCGCTATCCCTTCGCCCTTCAGTGTTTCCACGCGAGGCGCGACCGCACCAGAGCGCTCGTGCCCCTCTAGTCTCTGACTCGCCTGTACCCCACTCGAGCGACGCCGATGCCCTCGCAGCCAGCACGTTCTCCATGCGAGCGGCCAAGCACCTTGCCCTCCCATCTCTAGTCTCGAACTCGAGTCCGTCGGCTGCCTGCACATGCAGATCTTCATCCTGGAGCCCGCTCGAGCACTCCAGTTTACGGATGTAGATGCTTCGTCCTAGCGCCAACCTCTCATGGCTTCACCTGGCTTTGAGGTAGGTGAGCAAATGTAGATGTAGGGAGCTGTGACACACCCTATCTTCTTGTCTTTTGTCTCTAGCTACATCGGGGCCGAGGACCCCGTCGGGTATGAATCCCCGTGCGGGGGCGGGGATGGGGAGGAATCCTCCCCGCGACGTTAAACGGGGACGGGGACGGGGAATTCTTAGCCCCGGGACGGGGATGGGGAGGCGTTCCCCGACGGGGAATTCCCCATTGCCATCATATGTAACATCCCCCGATCTAATTTTACAACATCAAAATGGAACAACTGCAATATACATCTGAAACAGTTAAAACATACATATGCAATATAGGGAAGGAAAAGGCCGGGGCCGGTCGATTCCAGCCACCAGGGTCGGAGCCGGCAGGGAGCAGCGGCGCACGAGCACCACCGCCACCAGTAGTGGGCTTGGCTCAGTCGGGCGGGCGATTAGCACTAACACCAGACGCCGCCGCAGCACCAAAGACCGGTCTTGGCTCGTTCGGTCGGCGGGCAAGACGACGGCGGGCGAAAGCACCACCAAAGACCAAAGACGTGATTTGGGCGTCTGAAAGGCGCCGGATGGGGTGCGCGCGACAGCAGCGAGGCGGAGTGGCATCTGCGTTCGGGATGGGACGGACGGAGTGGCAACAACAAGGCGCTGTGGTGGAGAGGAGGGAGCAGAAGGAATTAGAAGGTTTTTCTTTTTTTTTAGAACGGTTGGGGCGAGGGCGAGTGGATGAGTGGTCGTTGGGATACGTCGCGGCCCACCATCGACACCGTATGGGCAGACGGACGTCCTATACCCAGCATTACTGCATATATATTCATCAATCAAGATACTCTTGTACACTTGATACTTCCTCTTTATAATTACCATCAGTCACAAGTTGTTCATATAACCTTTAATTTATGTCTAGGTCCACACATCGTGCGACTTCATTATGTATTTTGAGTGGGAGAGACAATCTCCATGAAATGAATTCTCCATTCTTTTCCCTTACTGTGTGGTCTAACTATCCAAGGCTTGGAACCTAAGCCTCAGAGTAAGGACATGAAGAAGGTGACGGAGCAAAACAAGGGCCACATTTCAGGGGAACATCCTCCCTTAAAGGCCGTGGCATGCACCTTATCTTGAGATTCACATCAAGATCTTATTCTTTGTGGGTTTGTAACACAACTTCAGGGAAAAGAATATGTCATATGTGATCAGAAACTCTCTCACCTCCTCACTAGCTACAAGACATGCATATGCCTTCAGAATATGTGTTCGCAAGGATTCTATACGCATGCATCAGGGGAGCTCATTGCATTCATATATATGCATCCAAAGCCAGCTCTTGGCCGGGCAACTCTCTTGTTTGGAGATTTTAACCAGCTTCGTATTACACACTCTTATTAGCACTTGCAATGTGGAGCTCCGTGGTGTTTGTCTCTCTCATCCTCCTCCTCCTGGCTACCAGAGCTTATGGTAATGAATTCAGTGGTGTACTTGATCTTCCATTTTATATCTCTCTCGTTTCGTATAGCATGATGATGATGGTCTTATATTAATTAAACTGAGTATGTATATACTGATTGTAAATGCATTCCATTTTCATCCTCTATAGGACTTGGGAGGCTGGACATGCAGCTCCACACAGCACAACATCAACAACTGCAGAAGAAGGTCGATAGCCAGAAGGTTAGTGACGCAGTTCTTTCTAGCATTCTCCATTAGTTTCTTCTTCATCATGGCCATGTCGCACAGATAGTGGCATCTTGCTTGCATGTAACTGGCCACATGCATGTCTGTGTCTCTGATGTGTATTGCAGGAGGAGATACTACCGGATGACTTTACGTGGCGACGACCACCATCATCACCTTCCGGTCGGCGGCCGGCGGGCGTGCGCGACGACGCATCCGACAGCCGAAACGGCTTAGGCGGCAGCACCACACCGGAGCATCGCCTGACGACGAGCACGGGACGTGCTGCTGAGAAGGACGGAGAGATGAAGAAGAGGATGAGGACTCATCGTGGGCCCCGTGGGGTGGTGGCGCCCAGATTAATCCACGAAGATTACGTCGGGCCCAGCGGTCATTCACCCAACCACCACCGGGCAATACCATGCGGCCCATGCAAGCATTGAGCAGCCCGGCCTATTTCAGTTTTCTCCGGTCAACACATGCTGCTTGTGTCCGGACATGCGTGTTATAGGTGGAGAGTGGCCCACTGGTAGCATTTAGGAGTTCAAGTTGGTACACATTGCCAGTTTTGGCCTTAGTTCAAGTTAACTTTTTTTACATCTTTGATTAGTTCATCTTGGTTTTGGATCGACCCAATTACCTGGAACAGATATAACACCCTGAAATTTGCTTTTCTTTGAATTGAACTAAAATTGATTTAATTATGTATTTTTGTATATAGGGGAAGTAATTTTTTTATTGAAATTAAAATTCATGATAAGTTTAGAAAACTTGTTCTTGCATTCATGCTGTTGCATTGGATTTATTGAAATGAGTGGTTTTGACTTAAATTCAAATGATTTGAACTTGCTTTAGAAAAGGATTTTGAAATAAAAGGAAAACACTCCTTTCTCCCTCTCCCTCTTTTTCTCTCCTTCTGGTCCGTAGGCTCAAAACAGCCCACTCCCCCGGCTCACTCACCCTCTTGTCCGCAGCCCAGTCGAAAGGCCCGTTCGGCCTGCTCTCGCTGCCTCTTGGGCCCGTGTTCCCCTCCCCGCGCGCACAGGACCAGTTGGGCAGGCGGCCCAGGCACCAAGCCGCGCCCTCCCCTCTCTCTCCTGTCTCACTGCCAACACGGCCCCATACGTCAGCGGAACCCCTTCTCCTACCTCGTGCACAAACCGGACACCGAGTCTGTTCATCCGACGCCACCGCATCCTGTGTTTCCGGGGATTTGTTGCCCGCGGTACACACCGAGCCCCCATTGCGCATCTACTAGCCGCCGCCTTTGCCTTAGCTCCGCGCTGCCGCCGTTAGGATCTCGCCGAGGAGCAAGCCGCCGCCGCCACTGTCGGCGCCCTTCGCTGCCCCGCCGCCGTTCCCGATTCGTTAACGAGGCCCGCACCAAGGTGACTAAGCTGCGGGAGCCATTTTATTGTTTTCCCTCGCTCTGTGTCGCTCACGTCGCCGCTGAACCCTGCAGGAAGGCCGCTGCCGCTTCGTCGAGCCGTACGTCGTCACCGTTCGTTTCCCACCGTCGAGAACGTCCTAGGTGAGCTCACCTTCCCATGATACATCTCCCGGTACTGATCCCGTCGCGATCCGTGCCCAAAATCGCCCTTCCGGTAAACTTCCGGAGAAGTACTCGCCGCCGGCCATGGCGCCACTGCCGGGCTGCCCTCGCACCCCTTCGGTCCACCGCGACCCGTGCACGGAGTCCACCGCAGCTGGTCCACGCCACAGCGCACCCGGTCCACCGCCCCAGCCAACAAGCTTGAGCCACGTCACCCGCTGACTTGGTCAGCAGCCGTCGCCACGTTTTTGCAGAAAACCCCTCCACTTTCCAGGTTTTTGAACCCTCCGTCCCTGACCGGTTTTAAAAACCGATTTTATTTATTTTAATCCGAAAATAGTTTGCGTTATTTACGAAACTGCCATCCAGACCTTAAAATAGCCATATATCCTCCGTTTTAACTCCGATTTGAGTGAATCTCACGCCTACGTGCTCGTAGCATTGCGTAGAACAATTTTTAAACCTTTTTAACTTCTATTTATATTGTTTGGTGTATTGTTCTAATTAGTTTATATTTGTTTGCAATGCATGTATGTATGATGCTTGTATGGTGTCTTTTGATCTTGAGTAGACAGTGAGTTGTATGTTGGTGATCTGGAGAAACCCTTTGAAGATCAAGACCAGCAGCGATACTTTGATTGAGGCAAGTATAATATGAGGATCCTTGTTACCTGTTCACTTTAATGTAATCTCAATTCATATGCATATGTTAATGAACCGCTTGGAATCTATTTACCTTGAGGTTGATTATCCTATCCTTGATTTACCTATGGGTTTTGCATGTGGGTAGTATGCTTAGATTGCTTCAACTAATATTGAGTAAAGAATACAATTAAAGATATATGCAACATGGCATTAAAAAATGTTTTTAGCAACATGGAACCAAGAGGGCTAGAGCATTGGGCCTTTTCTTACGGTGCTCTAGTTTCTCTCCATAAGGACTCATCTTTAAGTGGCAACCCTAGACTTACAGTACAACCTGAGGACTACATGGCTCTGGTCTTAGTCCAATACCTTGCTCTTTCTAGTTTGTAGCAGCTTATCAAAAGGGCAAGAGGGGCATACCAGGCTGGGCATGGGCCTCATCCCCAAGGTGTGTATTGTGCTACGAGTATTAGTGCCATTCTTAGAGATGACTCCATAACACTTGGGAGATGGAATCCTTAGCACCTGCTTTTTATTAGAATGACTGGGGAAAAGTTTCGTAGTGTACCCTACCTACTCACATTGGAAGTGTTTTGGGAGTAATTAACCCGGGCATATGGGTAACACGACTCATGGTGAAAGTGTACAACCTCTGCAGAGTGTAAAACTGGTATATCAGCCGTGCTTACGGATACGAGCGGCCTGGATCCTTACTGAATAGTTGGTTACTCGGATGGTTTGGGTTATGATCAAAATTGTTGATATCTCTAATTATTCATATTTGGGAGCCTATGCATAACTTAGCAACTTATGTTTAATAATAAAATATGACAAACTAAAAGTGCTTACCACAGTTCAGCCGTGTAAGCCTTTTGAGCCTACATCTTCTCATGTTATGCTTGCTAAACGGTAGTAGCTTATGCTTGTTTTATTTCAATTCTTAGGAAAAAATCTCGGATGGGTACCAGATGGAGGTTCTTCAGTGAATTTTTCCAAGAGATTTAGGCTTGTGATCAACCAGTTGATGATTTATAGCACCCGGCTTTAAGAACAAAACTAGATACACACCAAATGTGAGCCTAGAAAGTCAAATCTCACATATAGCTACAAATAAAGGTATTATCAAAAGACAATGCTCAATGTATAACGTACTTAGTATAAAGGATATAACCTTAGACAGCAAACAGTGGAAAGACAATTCCGATCTTCGGGTGAAGACTCCAATTCACAGGGACAACTGACTGGTTGATCACAAGCCTACTTCCTCCCCAACTCAAGCATCTGGTACCCATCTAGGATTTTTATCCAAATAATTGAAAAATAAAGCAAGCGTAAGTACATGTCGTACTCAACAAATATAACATGGGGTTCATGAGGCTCAAAAGGCTGACACTGGTTTAACTGCGATTAGCTTTTAATGAGTCATGATTTTAGCAATTGAGTGACAACAAGTTTATCCTCAAGCCCGTATAAACACATGATCAGGTAAACATGAATAATAAATAGCATAAATAATTAACCATTAATGAGCATCTTTATTATCAGTATTATCAGTGTTCGTCATCTATTCCGTAAGGGTTCCAAGGCCGCTCGTGACTGTAAGCACGGCTGATATACCAGTTTTACACTCTGCAGAGGTTGTACACTTTCACCATGAGTCATGATACCCATATGCCCGGGTTTGCAACTCCCAAAACACTTCCAAGGTGAGCAAGCAAGGTACACTACGAAGCTTTTCCCCAGTCATTTTAATAAGGAGCAGCCATTAAGGATTCCATCTCCCAAGTGTTATGGAGTCATCTTCAAAAGTGGCACTTATACACGCAGCATAGTACACACTCTGGGCATGAGACCCATACTCAGCCTGGTATGCCCCTCTTGCCCTTTTGGTAAACTACTACAAACTAGAAAGAGCAAGGTACTAGACTAAGATCAGAGCCATGTAGTCCTCATGATTGTACTGTAAGTCTCGGATGATCACTTGCAGATAAGTCCTTCGGGAGAGAAATCTGAAGCATTTAGAAAGTAGCTAAACACTCCAGCCCCCTGTTTCCATGTTGCTAAAAAGTCATATTTTAATGTTTATTGCATATACCATTAGTCAAGTTACAAGATCATGGTTGTAGTTGAGCACTAGCAAAGCTACCCAATGCAATACATATATGAATCAAGGTACAAGTACAAAAGACTAGGAAATCCTTAGTGGTAGTCAAGGTAGACACATGCAGCATGAATTAAATGATTAAAGGTGTATAGGAAACAAGGATGATCCACTGCTATACTTGCCTTAAACTTAGATCCTTCTTCGAGTCCAAAACTTCAAAGATCTGCTTCTTGATTCACCACGTATATCTCACCGACTGGACATGATAATAAAGCACCACACACGCATTCATGTAATCATACACGAAGCAAACAATAGATCTAAATTAGAACAGTACACCAATTATAGAAAAATAAATAAAAGAGTTTGAACACGATTCTACGTATCGCTACGAACACACAGTCGCGAGAGGCATGCTAATCGGAGCTACGGTTTGAAAGAAACGGCTTCCGAAAGATATACTTATAAAAGAAAATATAAAACTATTAGCTTCATGTGTTTTAACTATATAAAAACATATATAAGATATTTTATAGATAATATAAATTAAGTCAAATTTAGGTTTGAATTTTAATACTAAAGTAAAACAAATCATATTTTATTTATAAAATCCAGTTGCATAATTATTATTCAAATTAGAGTTTAAACCATGAAATTCTAGAAAATAGTGTTATGATAAACATTGCTACTAACACGTAGATATCGTTGCAATGAATCTAGCACAACTTGAACGGGTCAATTCAGAGCTAAAACGTAGAAAATATGATTTAAACAAGATTTTCTTTACTAAAATAATAGATTAAATCTAACCTCAAATTTTAAAAGCTGAAAACATACTTAACAGTAGTATGAACATGTAGATTATGAAATTATGAACCTAACGCAAGTTGAACGGGTCAAATCGGAGTTAAAATGGAGAAGTTATGGCTAAAACAAAATCAGTGGCAAATCTGTAAATAAGTGAAAACGTATTTTGGATCTAAACCGAAGAAACTACGCTTTCCAAAGAAGAAAACGTAATATGTGATTGCGCCTTGGACCGTGGGTTCTATTTTGAAGAAACCAATGGACTCTTATGCAAAAGTAGCAGCCAAAAAGGTACGGGCTCATCTGAGCCGTTGGATCGGGTTTGAGTGGCACAG